GTACTAAATTTTATCATTTTAACTTACAAATGAGGATATTCGCGAACGTTAAACGAATAAAAACAAATACATTAAAAATAAATAAAACGAAACAAAATATTAAAAAATCCAAATGAATATAAACTGAATACAAGAACTTCTAAAAATAAACAAATGAACATAAATAAAAATATTGTTCTTTCAAGCTTAGTTCATATGCCCCCCTAATATTTATAATATAATTTTAAAATATTATTTATAAAGTATTTTAGAAAAACAAAATATTATTTATAATATAAAATATCATAAATTTATTTTTATATATTAATTTTACAAAAAAATACGACTATATATTTATATAAAAAATGAAATATTTATAGAATTCAATACATTTATCGAGTGTAATATCACTTTCACCATGGAGAGATAAAGATCCCAAAGAAGAAAAAACAAAAACAAGACGTGGCCATCTCCAATTATTGAGTGTAATATCCTATATCTCAGTCGTATTATATCAAATGAATGTCATTTCAGTTGATTTCCACCCCTAATATAGTGCGTAAATATTTATTAATTTATATTAAAATAATATAATTTCGTTTAAATAATTTTTATTGTTCAATCTTACGTTAGGCGTGGATACATATGGTCCAGAGGCTAAAGACATACTTATTATTTTAGATTATATATTAAATATTATTTAATATATTAAAAAAGAAGAAAAAAAAATTACATACCCATTATATTAAAAAATAATATTAAAATTTATGATCCTCATTTCTAAATTTATAGATTCGTCACTACCTTATATATGTTGAATTTATTGTTTCCAAAAAGCTCCGTATGCATTCATAAAAAAATCACATTTATTCTTAATATCCATATACACGATGACAAGTATCGTAATTGTCAAATAGTTAATTATTTTTCTCGGATAATTATGCTAAGAACGTAGTATAGAGAAGAAGGATATCGATTTACAAGAATTCATACATTTTTAATATCAATATGAATTGATCTTTAACCAAAGAATTTGTAAAACAAAAAAACTAAAAAGAATGGTGGGTTTATAATAATCAAGTAAATTAAATAAAATTAAACTTAAATTTAAAAATTATTTTTAGAATCTTTCTTAATATCCTTCTCTTCTCAATCAAAACAATATTCTTTCTCTTACTCCATTGTTTCTTTTCCTAATGGAGAAACAATATTCTTTCTCTTACTCCATCGGTTTCTTCCTAATCGATTTATTAAAGAAACATCGTTTATAAATAAAAGTTTACTTGGAAATTTTAACAATTTCATGTTAAAAACCTCATATAGGAGAATCCAACGTCATAAACGAAATAATCATAAACTGTGAAAGAGCAACTACCATGGGAGAACAAAAGTTTTGTGCCATATCATTCGAGTCATTTGTACATTTAGGGTGCGTTTAGTTTACGGAATGTAAGATTATCAGTAGAAATAAAAAATTACCAGGGTATAGGATTATTGTGAATGTTGTATTTTGTGTTTGGTTGGTTTAGCATGAATGTAAGATTACCATGTTTGGTAATGAATAAAATATTATTGGAATGTATATTTGACCAAATTGCCCTTATTATATATTTGTATAATATTACAAATTGTAAAATATTTATATATTTTCTTTAAAAACTTAAATTCATAATATTTATATAATTTTTTTACAAAATTAAAAATATAAAAAAGGTTTAATGAAAGGGTAAAAAAAATTTTAATCCATGAACTTCATAAAAATTTTTAATTATAGACTTTTTTTTTATAAATCTAAAATAATTTAAGGATAAATTTGTAATTTAAACTTCATAGAATTTTTATTATTCAATGACAGAAGAAGGATATTTTTGAAGAAAAATAAATTTAATGGCATTTTAGTCCAAAACGCCGGTAATGTTACAATACTTAAGGGAAGAGAAGTAATGACATTCCCGGTAATATACCCTAAAAAATCTACTATTGATAATAAAACATTACCGGAAAAAAGATTTCCGGCCAACCAAACATGAGAATGTGGTATTCCCATCCCATAAGAATCCCACAATCCTTATACCAAACACATCCTTAAGTGTTTTAAACCCTGGACTTCTATCAAGTATGCTATTAAAAGAGACGACGAACATAAAAAAATATGGGAGAAAATGAGCTTATTTGTCATAAGTGCAGTATTTATGTGCCATGAAGGTACATCGAGTTAGGACCCAAAACATTTAACATTTTAAGTTCTCAAAGTTGAGCTCAGAACAGACACATTTTGCGTATAAATAATATGAAAAAATATTAATATAAAATTTTAATTATTTAATACCATTAATGATGTAATAAAAAGTTTCCATGTAATAATTTATTCGTAAACACATACAGCAAACACTTCCATAAAAACACACCTCAACTATACGAACTTTTAAAGTAGCAAAGACTGAACAGACAATGACACAAAACACGGACGAAATAGAATTGAACACACTTGAACCGAGTCTTCCCCTTGTTTAGTTCTTCTTCAAGCTCTGCAAAAGCTTCTTCATCACATCATCGCACCTTCCACCAGCCTCGGTTGTTTTCTTGGCCACTTCACCCATTCTTTTAGCTTTCATTCTCACCGTTTGATCCTTCATAATCTCCTTGATTTTACTCCCAATCTCTTCTCCTTCCACCAAATAGTTATTGATTCCCCATCCCCAGTTCTTCCTGCAAACCCCCCACCCAGCTGCCTCCATAACCTCCCCAGCGATCATGTGGTCTCCCCAATGTGGCCATCCGAGGACTGGGATCCCATGCCAAGATGTTTCCACCACCGAGTTCCATCCACAATGGCTTAGGAACAAACCCACCGCTTTGTGACTCAGTATCCGCCATTGATCCACCCACTCTTTCACAACAAAAGCATTACTGTTCTTCACTTGGTTCATCACTTGGTGTCCTACAATCTCGTCCAAGTCGTCTCTTTCTTCTTGTTTTTCAACAAATTTAGTCCTCACCACCCACAGAAACTTATATCCACTTAGTATTAGTCCATTGCCTAACTCCTTTATTTGCTCTTTAGACATCGGATACTTACTGCCGAAGCTGGCGAAAACCACCGAGCTTTCCTTCTGGTTGTCCAGCCACTTCATGAATGGTGAAGACGAAGACGAAGATCCCCCCTCGAATGGCAATGGCAGAAACGGTCCAAGGGGGAAAGCTGGCGGCAGCCCGTCTGTTAACTCTGCAGCAGCAAGCATCTCAAAGCATTCCTTTTCGAGCCCTTCGAATGAATTGATCAGAACGCCATCGAAACGCTTGATGCTCTTGCTGGCGTCTGAGAAGTTCTTTGCGAAGTAGCTGTTCGAGTCCAGAAGCGGCGGAGGAATCGATGTCTTCGGGATCGATGAAGGGATAGAAGGAAAAGAAGAGACGAGTGAAAACATCCGAGCCGACGAAATGGAGAGAATATAGTTAGGTAGACGGAGATTTTCAGTGATTTCGATCACGGACGACAACAATGTTATATCGGTGACGACGAACGAGAGTGGAGGAGACAATGAAGAGAGGATGGGAGAAAACAGGTGAGCAGAGTGGCAAATGGTGGCCCATTGGATTGAATAAGGGTCGGTGGTATTAACAGTGATGGGATCGATGGGGGTGAGAGTGATCTTCTTCTCGTTAACCTGAGGAAATGCAGAGAGGAAATTGGAGACAAGCTGAGATTCAGCCGAAGAGACAATAGGGTGAGAAGTGATTAAAGTGACTGAACATTGGTGGCGGATAAGAGAGGCAGCAAGTCTAAGCATTGGTTGAAGATGACCCATGCCGGAGCTTGGGAGCAAAGCAACATGAAGAGACATTATTATTATAGCAAAAAGAGACTTGAAATTGAAAATGCTGAAGATCTGTGTTTCCTATGCAGTGGAGTTCAATAGTTGGGGGGGGGGGAGGAGAGTACTTATACTCACCCAGCATGGGTAACCACCATGATCAGCTTCAACTACTTTTAAACTTGGGTAAACTAGCTAAATAAAAGTTCAATTACATATGATATAATAATTTACAATATATTAACATTGGATAATAAATTTATAAAGCAAACATGACCAACTAAGAATAGCACTCTTACCAACGAGAAATTTTGGATTCCCAAGGAAGAAGGAAGGACAACAACAAAATTGCAGTGCTGAGAAACGCATTGATGAATAAATTTGGTTCTTTTAAGAAACGGCACTGCTCCCCTATGTAGTTAATGGAAAGTTTACCATGTGATAAAATTTTGGGTAATTACTGATTTGGTACTAACATATTTTTTTTATTTCGGTCAATTTCTTTTAGAATCATATTTAAAATTATTTAATAACCATATTGGTACAATATCTTTTATACTCGGCAGCAGATGCAGGTCCTGGGAATGCCTCCTGTTGTTCTGATTATATTTGCCTTTTCCTTCGCTTTAACTTCATCATTTCTTTCTGCCCGTGCTCTTGCTTCTTCCACAGCTTGTTCGATATACTCCATTAATTGAATATATGATTTTAAATATTCATGTATTTGTCTTTAATGTAAAACTCCATTTATCTATACGATGTGGTTTTTATTTTGTAAGGAAGGTGATTTGGATATAGTTGTGGTGGTGGGGTGTTTGAAAAAAAATTATAAATTAAAAAGTTTTTGGTATAAATTAGATATAAAATCATTGTTTGAGGACTTATTTGATGTTTTAGCAAAAATTCAGGGGTAAAACTAAATATTTACTTTTTTATTAACGTTGTCATGTCATCAGTTTAACAAAGGTAACGGTGGAGTGGCTATTTTGTTACAAATCGAAAATGTTATTGATCAATTTGTTACTTTTGAAACTTGAGTGGAAAAAACGAAAACTTAATCAAATATTAGTGACCATTGTTGCAGTTTACGCTACTATTTACTTTGTCGTTTCAATGTGGTTGCATTTCGTTTTGGCTTTAATGTAATTGGTACAACTGGTTAGTACTATTCGATACCACACCATAAGCAGGCAATGAATGTTTCATTTACCGTTCTTTGATCTTGGCCATCTCGTCCTTCCCACAAGCCTCCGCTTTCGTCTGCTCTATCTGTGGTTTAATGGCAGGATGATGGGTTTTTGGTGCTGTGCTTTCTGTTTGGCCGGAAAGCATGTCAGGCTTAGAGGAGCTTCTCGGTTCTATAATGCTAGTCATGCCCAAATGATCGGCTAGGGTAAGAGATTTTCTAAACGGAGCACGTTTAAGTTCCTTCTCATCATTGCCATCAGTTGCTGGCACCTTGCGCTTTGCACCTGCTGAACCTTTTCTCGACCCTTCTTCACCAGTTAATTTCGTTTGGTTGAGCAGTATCAGAAACTACAAGTTCCCATTTCTCATGCTTTGGATCTTTACCTGAGAGTTGTTCGGATATAGCGCCAGCTTCCGATATTGAAGATGACTTATCTTCCTTTCTGCTCTTATCCTTGATCAACGAGGGATCAAGACTTGAACTGCTCTTTTTCTGATCTTGGGTGCTTGGTTTTGCAATTGAGGTAATCACATATGTAGCAGCTGCAGCTGCAACTGCAACTACTTGCTCTGGTTTATGGTCCGAATCATCATTCGAACTCATCGTCTTGCCCGAAAATGGTCTTCGAAACCAGTTCTGGGTTCTCTTCTCTGCAAAAGCCAAAATCAAGGCCGGTCGTCGTTGCTTCCACCTGTACATCTTTCTATCTTAAAAACAATGATGCAGAAGGAACATGATCTAAACTTCTTCATCTTCAGGTTAGAAAAATAGTTGGGGAGATCAGTGTTACTTTTACCTCGTTTGAATGATTGAGTTTTTTGAGGTGGGATCCTTTGGTTTCTGATCGACTCTTCTGTTTTGCCACGTCCGGCACCGGAAAATCTCCCCCTGGCGCAAATGATCAGTCAAATGGAAGCAGATTCCTTAGGATTTCAAAAATCTTATACTCTGCAGATTCCTATAGGACAGTGCATGGAAACGAACCATCGAAAAGGAAAATAGAATTGACCTCGTCTGCTTCTCCAAATTCTCCATTGTTTCCGATGACTTCAAAAGGATTGGATGGTTTGGTCATGGGAAGAAGACAAGCTTTGGGTAAATATGCTTTGCATTGCATGCAAAGCTTGGTTTGTATATTCTTAAGAAACGTATTATTTCCTTCTGATTTTAACTGTTAATTAGTGACTATACATACGTATAATTTGATATTATAAGCATTTTTAAGAATGTTTCTTGTCCCGGAAGGCAAGAGGTTTGAGAAGAGTCTTGTATTGTTCAGATAACATTTGGTTTATACCTATTTTGATATGCTAAGCTTCTATATCAAGAAATAAAGTGATCCATTCCTTATTGGAATAATATTTTAATAAAAATATAAATAAGGCTATAAAATATAAAAAATCCTACTCGAACAAGATTTTCTTTTTAAAAAAATCCATCTCTAAAACTATAAATCCATATTAACACTATCCAATTTTAAATTAAATTATCATCCCTATATTCGAATAACATTATACACAATACTATATACTAAATAAATTATCAATTTTGATCCGTTTTATTATCTAAATTTTCAATTTTCTCAAAATCATATCAAATGTTTAGTTTTTATTTCATTTTATATCATACCGTTCAAAACTTAAAGTGTTTAGAATTTAAACGGTCAGTTTTGATGAGGGATGAGCATGTGTCGAGTCGGGTCAGATTTTTGATCCACCCAACACGATCCAAAAATTATAAATCCTCCATCCGACCTAACTCAACCCAACCCGAAACAATATATTTATTAAAAAATATTATTTTTATGATTGAAAGAAAATAATATATAGATGAGTATTATTGTAATTATCTCAAATAAATAAGGCAAAATAATATATAGATGAGTATTATTTTTATGATTTTTGATCCACCCAACACGATCCAAAAATTATAAATCCTCCATCCGACGTCGTGGGCTTCGAGTCGGGTCGTGGACCAGAGCAGATCCACTTGGAGTTGACTGGTCGGGATGGGGAGATACGGGTGATGTTCGTTGCGGCTAAATTACATAACTGACATCATTTTTTTTTTATTTTTCCTTTCTGACACCGTTTGACCAATATTTCCAGAAGTAACACCCTTTCTGCTGAGTTGGCAAAGGCGCGTCTCCGGGGACGCGCTTTACCCGTATTTTCGCTGAGTTGGATGCCACGTGTGGAAGGCGCGTCCCCGGGGACGCGCCTTTGTCATATCAGCAGACACGTGTGGAAAGCGCATCCCCAGGGACGCGCCTTCCATTAAATGTCATAAATGCATGTAACCTGGCGGGCTAGGAATGTAACCCTGCGGGCTCGGAATGTAACCCTGCGGAGATGGCATATAAACTGGTGGGCTTGGCATATGAAGTGGAGGGTTGGGCATGTACTCCTGCGGCATCGACGAATAAAGATGTTGTGGTGGGACTGATGCAGAACCGATAGCGCCTTCTCTCCGTCCATGCGTCGGGGGACGATGATATTGAGACGGTTGACGTCTTTCTCGGCGCCTAGGAATGTTAACCCCTCGTGCTTCCGCCGAAAGTAGAAACGGCTTCCCATTTTCATTAAACCAGTCCATATAGTTATCCGTAACCATATGACCAGTTTCAGTGTAATATTGTTGAGGGGCCAACAGTGTATATCGGTTCTCCCAAAGCGCAATCCAATCTCTGTGTCTCACCACCCAGTTAACATATTTCTTTTCTCGTCTATCTATGTTATGCACGTCGTCTAAATTCCTAGGAGCTCCAGGAATATATTGCGTACAACCATACTGACGGAGCACGCGATCAACTGGATGCCACTCAATAATAGCATAACATATAAGAGGTATAACCGATATCCATACCTCTAATGACCCACTAAGGTGGGGTGAGATGCAAGCTTTCACTTCATCGCTCGCATAAGGTATCCACTGAAACTGAAATATAAATATACAATTCAAATAAATAAAATATTCTAATTATATCTAACATTTTAAATTAAAATATTAATAATTAAACAAATTTAAAAACATACCTCAGACCCAGCTTTCGTATCAATAAGTAAACGAATTTCCTCTAACCCAGTAGGTATACTTTTATGGTCCTTTCTTTTCATCGACCACCTATGAAATATAATATAAACTAAATATCACCCTATTTAATTGAAAATATTTAAATCAAAATTTAGTTCGAAAATTACCTCAACAATAAGGGGAATACGTATGGTTCATTCACGATCGGACATAAGAAAGGCATGCGGAACCACGCCCATGATTGTAGAAGCAGAAGACATCTACCGATAGCAGTTTTCTTATAATTCGTCGCCCGACACATTTCTCTAAAGAGAAATGCCAAAACTGCAGCACCCCAACTATATCTTCCAGCTTCATCAAAATCGATCAGATGCCGCAACCACATACAATGCACCTAGTTGCGAGATTTGTCGGGCATCAATATTCCTCCAATTATTCGTAGAATACACATTTCATGATGATAGTGAAGATGAGGAGACTGAAGAACAAGTTCCACGAAGAAATCCTCCACGAAATAGACAACCACCGCTATGTGGAACTCATTCGAGAAGACGACATCGGTGATCTAGTTATATTTAATGTTATTTAAATAATTATATTTCAGAATTTTATGTAATTTGGTTATGTTATTTAAATGTTTCATGGTTGTTACATACATATTTTTTAATGTTATTTTTTATTCACATTTAACATTAAATGTTTGATAAATGTTTTTAAAATACAAATTATATTATTCGAAATTTAAATTTAAAATAAAAATAAAAATAATATTATTCAAATTTAAATTTAAAATATAAATTATAGTATTCAAAATTTAACATTAAATTTCAACTTAATATTCCAATTGTATTCGAAATTAAAAGTTATATTCCAATTATAGTACACAATACTTAAATTGAAATTAAATTTATCCATACATATGATTTTATCATTAACATATATATTAAAACGTATTTGGATTACAAAAATTATGTCATTGCTGCTTGCTCTCATGTGGTTTCTTTCAAGCACTCAAATATCCATGCTCTCATGTCATTGCTGCTTGCTCACATTCGCATTTGGACTACAAAAATTATGTTGATCCCGTATACCAACTTTCACAAGTATTCAAGGTATATGAATTTGAGTTTCCGCCCATAAGAAACGAAAGAGACCCAAATGAGATTCAAACTTGGCTTACAATTGTACCAGATCCATTGCTATTGAGGGACTCTGGTCGTCCAAAATCTACTAGAATACATTGTGATATGGATATTCGGGAGAAGTCAACAGAACAAAAACGATGTGGGCATTGTAGAAACATCGGGCACAATAGAAAAAAATGTCCAGCTCTGTTATCATCATATAACCGTTAACTCTTATGTAATTAATATTGTATTTAAATGAATGTTTTTGTTTCTAATAATTTAATGTTATTGCATTTATATAATTTGTCAATGTATGTACACCTAAATAATTTTTTTTAACTTTTAAATACATAAATATATTTAATATATTTATTTAATATAATAATATTATTAGTTATAATTTTTTTTAAAATATAATAATAATTCCACCTTCTAAGTAGAGAAAAATATTAAATTAAACAAATTAAAAGTTATTAAAAAATTTATGTATACGATGACACATTTCATGTTCTGATTGGAGGATTAAATTTATTAAATTAAATTTTCAATAAGACTAATTTTATAAAATATGTAAGTCTTGAAGATTAAATATGTAATTATACTAATTTATTAACTTATGCATCAATATTTTCGTTAAATATTGATATGAGATGACTAGATTGATAACATTTAAATAATTAACTGATAAAATTAATAGATCGATAATCAAAATCAAAAATAATAATAACCATATGTGTAATATTATAATTTCATACATTTTTCCTATAACTACAATAAAGTCAAAACTGGTTTTCATATATTGTTATATCATATTAATGTAGATAATTCACTCCACCTTTAACACACATTAACAAAATACATTTGATAATTCTTACATTATAATCGAAACATTTTACATAATATATTATTAATTTATAATAATAATAAAAATAAACTATTTATTATAAAACAAAATACGTGTCTGCTGAGTTGGCAAAGGCGCGTCCCCGGGGACGCGCCTTCCACACGTGGCATCCAACTCAGCGAAAACGCGGGTAAAATGCGTCCCCGGGGACGCGTCTTTGCCAACTCAACAGAAAAGGTGCTACTTTTAGAAATATTGGTCAAACAATGTTAGAAATAAAAAATTTAAAGCAAACGGTATCAGTTATGTAATTTAGCCGTTCGTTGCGGAGGATTCAGAGGAGAGGTACGTGAGGTACGGAGATAAGGAAGAGGAGTGGGGAAGTGACGTGGCGGTGGCGCGTACAGGGAGGTTTGAGAGGTAGGATACGTGTCACGCGTCGGCGAATGCGAGCATCGGGTTGAGGGATCCCGGTTGGATATTTGACGCCGTTGTTTCGGGTTTAAAGGGTGGGATGAAATACTATTATCAAGTAATCTAGGCATATATGCTAAATTTGTTAAAAGTCGAACTAGAAGTCTAGAACTAGCTTCTGTTCTTTCAACTTTAAAATACACAATAGTGTCACTAAATTATACTAAAATGATTGTTTTAGTCACCGCACTTTCAAAAGTTATAAAATGACCATTAAATTTATTGAACTGTTATAAAATGGTCACTGCAATGTTGACAGTTGAATAAAATTTTCCAATTCGAGTTAATTCATATGTACATCTTATGTGTGTGGTTCATATAGTTTTATCCTGTTGGTTTCATGTATCCTGAAGGCATGGTGTACTCTCAAATCAACTTCAATACTTAATTTACCTTTGCTTTTCTCATTCTACAAGGTTGGAAGCGAGTCTAAAGTTTGGAGCACGACACGGAGCTTTGTGTCATTAGACAAAAATTCGAACGAAACGGTAGCTTTTCTATTTGGTGACATGGGGACTGCTACACCGTACATAACCTTCAGTCGTACACAAGACGAA